CGTCCGCAGCGCCGGAGCCGGACGGCTGCCCCGTCTGCTTGTGGCGGCAGCACAGCCGCGAGCTGCGCCTGGAGAGCATCAAGTCGCAGATCCTGAGCAAACTGCGGCTCAAGGAGGCGCCCAACATCAGCCGGGAGGTGGTGAAGCAGCTGCTGCCGAAGGCGCCGCCGCTGCAGCAGATCCTGGATCTGCACGACTTCCAAGGCGACGCGCTGCAGCCCGAGGACTTCTTGGAAGAGGACGAGTACCACGCTACCACGGAGACGGTCATAAGCATGGCCCAGGAGAGTAAGTGGGCTGCGGGTGTGCGCGCGGTGCGGTCCAGTCTCGGGAAGGACCCGGAAGCCCTTTCTGCAAAAACTTGACGGATTGGGGAGCCTGGCCACTCCACACAACTTTTTCCGAGCAGTGAAGATGGGCAGCGGAGCTGAGTGCACGCCCCGTTGGGGAGGGGGGTGGCACGTTGGGGGGAGGGCGGCCAAACCGGGCAGGTTGTGAGATAGTGCTTCCCACCCCTTGTGCGGAAAAAGATTCAAGTTGAAGTAGTCCAGAAACTGGCACCCAGCAGTGCCTCTCCTTGCAGCGCTAGGCGGGGAGATTCCGTGACTCGTGCAGTCAGTCCCAGCTGGGCCGCAGTGCCATCTGCCCATTGCTTTGGCACCAGCTCCAACTCCTGCCTAGTGCTCCGTGAGGCGCCCACCAGGCTGCGGAGAACTGAGGTTCCTCTAACCGCACAGGCATAGGACCCAGACCCGGTGTCCCTCTGACTGACACCTTTCCTCTCTGCACCTGATCTCGCTCGCACTGGGCATCCCCTAGGAGCTTGAAGAGCTTTTCCTTCTTGTACAGAAAGAGTTCAAGCAACTCCACTCCACTTCGCTTGCGACTTATTGAGTATCATTTGGTTACTCCCACCTTAGTGTTCTGTCCCGTGTTCCCTGTCCTACCCACAGCTGGAGCCAGAGAAGACCCAGGGAGAAAGAACTAGATGGGGGGTGGGGGATGGGAGAACCCAGGCATCCGAGCCCCTGGCCAAACGGAGGATGAACACTCTAATAGACATGAGCTGCTTTGAAATTTTATGGCCTGGAAAATCCAGGCCAATACTACCACCCCCACTGCCTGCTCTCCCTAGGGTCAGGTGACTCCCTCCTCCCCTCCCCCACTGACTCTGTGTGTGTGTGTGTGTGTGTGTGTGTGTGTGTGTGTGTGTGTGTGT